TAACGTTGACTTATACTTTGAACTCGATATACTGTTAAATAAATTCTATTATTTTTTATAATATATATTTACATTTTTAATGAAATTTGAATTCGAATCTAGCGAATGCATAACTAATCGGTAAATGTACGAATCATTAACCAGTTAACGGTACAAATAATACATACAAACATATATATATATAAAATTTTTAATACTTTCTTTATTTTTTATTTTCTTTCCCTATTTCTTTTTCTTTTCTAATTTAAATTGCACCGATTTGTAATTCGATATGCTACGAACTACACGATATACTACTTTTAAATAAATTCCATCGTCGAATTCTCACGCAATACATTCCACACAGTTTTTGTTTTTTTCTTTTCTATTTTTTTTCACAAGTTAATACTTAGAAAATTTACATATTACTTGTTGGAGAATTATTGGAATAACTTATCAGCCATTGGAATTTCGCGGTTGCTCGCACCGCCTGTAGTCATCTTTAAAATGGACTACCTTAAATCACGTCTATCCAATTAGTTCAGTTCGATGTCTTGCACGAGACATAGCACGGACTGCCGATACGTCAACTTTAGATATATGTATTTATATATCACATATATATATATATGTTCTTGCTGCCATGCAAATAATCGCATCTTCTCTACAGGTATATAAATAATACACAACCCACGCGTGTTTTATCTATCAGAATAATCACCGGTTCTTACTCATTTAGAATTTAAAACTAATTTCTCTAACCATTTTAAACTTTCGATTATTTTTTTTTTTTTCTTTCATTACCTCTTTTCGTATCGTATGCAAAAATAAAAATATATATATGTGTATATTTAAATTATCGCAAATATTTCGATATTAGTTTTATTCTTCATTCTTTTTTTTTCTCATCTTTAATATCAAATAAATTTTTAATATCAAAAAATATTGAATGATATAACAATAATACAAAAAAAAAATTAAAGAAAATTAAATGCACACGAATAAATAATAACAAAGTGTGAGATAATATTTAATTGTCCATAAGTGTATAAATATTTTTATATAGAAAAATAAAATAAAAAAGAGAGATAA